GTGATATTGAAGGACCAGGAGATATGTATGTCAGTTAATTAGCTCAATTCTATCTGCCATCCGGGTCTAGTCTTTTAGAAACACAGCATCTCAGTCCTGGAAAAACCAAGTAAAAACTGTTCAAGTACATTATCATCATTCACATATTTATATATTAACTCAATCATTCCAACAACCCTGTATTGATATTCCCATGTAAATGTAACAAAAATTCATCAACTTTTACTGAAGAAAACTAAGGCAATGCCACTGCCATGCACTGTAAGTAGGGACAAGGACTACATAAAAATAGAAAAATTAAAAAAATATTATAAAATATATAAATTCTTTATATATATAAATAATATGGTGGCTGCAGTTTAGAAGCAAAGTGAAAATGCTTCTTCTGCTTCAGCAATTGTATTTTTATTCTGTCAATAAATATTTACTGGGCATCTTGCCTTCATGTCTATGAGACATTCACATTTGTAACCCTCTGAAAGGTACATACTATCTATCAGGTTATATCTTAGTCTAACACCACCTAGAACCTTGCTAGAGATAAGCTAATTAGGGAAATTATTCTTTTTGCTATATGGATGTAAGCAGCCTTTATCTAAATTTTAGATTTGTTTGTAAACTCATTTACTGACTATTTTTAGAGGTAACCCCCCAACACACCTCAACCAATGCCTTATTAAACTTTAACAATTCATTCAAAACAGACTTGAAAATTTCTAGAATGGGCCTTTCTCCTCTAGAACCTTGTTTTATCATTCACTCCCCTCTCTGCCTGTTTTTAACCTCCAACAATTCTATTCTTAAGTTTCTTCTCTATAGACCACAAACCCATTGAGTCTTTTCCATTTTTAAGATGGGTTACCACCAAATTTCTGTCATTTTCACTCAAATAGTGGTTTATTCTCACCGTCTTCACTTTTCTTACCACACATCTGTTCAGCCCACCACCATTCTGGTTTCTGGTTTTACTAAAACTGTTCTTACTAAAGCCACCAATAGACATTTAAAAAAAAAAAAAGTTTTTATTGATTTCAGAGAGAGAAAGGGAGTGGGAGAGAAAGATAGAAACATCAAGGTTGAGAAAGATTCATCCAATGGCTGCCTCCTGCACGCCCCCTATTGGGCATGTGCCCTGACCAGGAATTGAGCTGTGACCTGGTTCAGGGGCTGATGCTCAACCTCTGAACCACATCTGCCAGGCTTCCAATAGCCTCTTGATTACCAAAACCAAGAATGCATTTTAGTCCTTATTTTAGTTAACCTCTCTACTGCACGTAACAGAGTACTCTTTTCTTAAAATTCTCTCCAATAGTGATGCCAAGATATTTTTTTCTCTCCATCTTCCAAATCACTTTTTCTCTCCTTTGCTGGTAGATATCTGTTGAATCTCCAGCCCATATTTATCTTTTAAAAACCTAGATTCATATATCTAACTGCCTATAGGATACCTCCACTTGTATGATCTGAAGAGAACACAAACTCAATACATTCAAAACCTTACTTATCTTTCACCAAAAATTTCAATCCCCTACACTGCTGACAAAATGAAAGTTTCTAAAAGGCAAATCTAATCATATCATTCATTTACTTAAACCCCTGAATGGGTGAGTCCCTACCTTATGGTAGGAATCCTGGGATTATATGGAAGATATTCAATAAACTACCCCAAATTCTGTACCCTGTATATATCTATATTCCTACTGAAAGGGCCCAGAGGGTTAAGAACCACTGGCAGATAGAATAAGCCCTTTGAAACCTTTCAGAATCATCTCAAACCATACCTTCCCTCCCAGTCAATACCAAATAATTTAAGTTCTCAAATAGGGCTAGGCTGCTTCCATTTTTCACACTGTTGAACATAAGATTCCCTTTGGAAAGTCACTCCCCAGCGAACAAGTACTCATCCTTCAAGTGTTATTTCATCTATGAAATTCTCCCCAGGACCTTTAAGCAATTGATTTCTCCTTCCTTTCACTTACTACACCTTGCCTATACCTTTATTATAGTATTTATCATATGGCATTTTCATTTTTTAAAATCCTCACCCTAGGATATGTTTTTACTGATTTTCATGTCTTTCTTAATATTAATAGTTCATGAGGAAATGACCATGCTTTATTCATGTTTGTGTGCTAGTGCTCAGCACAGCATTTGTATTCAATACACACTCAAATATCTGTTACATATTCACACCATTAATAATGAATAATCTTTTCATAAACGGTTCTCCTGTGTAACAATAAGTTGTTCAAACTAACAATAGTATTTCATTAAAAAGCTTTAAAAAGGGTATTATTCAAAATATATTGGCTACAAACACTAATCAGTTTATTGCTGTTTTGAAATACTAAGAAAAAATTAAGTCTACATCTTTTTTAAAAAAAGACACAAAATATAAACAACTGCCTTTTTGTGTAAGTAAAAATTTGAATTATAAATTATTTGTAATCCTCAATGAGATTAAATCTACTAGGTATAAGACTTTTTCTTAACCTTTATATTTGATTAGCCTAGTTAAATGTGATTTTTCTTCTGTGATTTAAAGTTTTTATATATTCAATTAATTTTATTTATATTTATATCTGGACCTAGGTTTACAGAACTTAAGTACATATATATTTATATGTCGTTAAAATAGATATTTGTGTGAAATCAGCACGATTTCAGTGTTCAAAAAACACCAAATGAAGCTTTGGGGGAGAGATAGGGAACTGGGTTAAATAGGAAATTAGGTTGATTAACCATCAGAGAATCTGAGTTCTGTGTTACTTTTAAAAAACATCGTGGGTAAGTTATTTAAAACAGGAAATCGAAAGTTCTTACTCTTCACCACTATATCGCTAAAAACAGAGTTAGAGTTAGATGTAAATTTTGCTCGCTATAAAAAACTTGCCCGCACACGCTGGACAGATGCCAGCTGCCTATTAATGTGCGCATGAAAATCAGCACTAAAATATACACTAGGCCATGAAGTCTGAAGAAAATCTGCAGTGCTTGGTGTATTCACTAACTCCTCCAAGTGACTTGATCATTGTCAAGGTCGAATTAATAAGTCTCCTTTGATGTTAATGACTGAGTGTTCCCAGGAAAGGACTAAAAGCTGTCTACCGGCTGATGCTTGGAAATACTTAAACGTGATGGCGATTCCTAGCATGTGTTTAAGTGAATCCAGCTGACAAGATGCGTTTTGTTAAAGACCTTTCCTTCCCCGTCCCTCACGTCTCCTGCTACCATCCTCGCCAGCTTCCCTGACCCAGTCATTTATCCATTTTTAACTTGGGGCCAATCTTAAAAACAAATTAATAAATGAATGCTCGTCAAATCGGTTACGAGGCACAACTAGCTTTCGAGGGAGCGGCCTCAAATCAGCAAAAGGGCAGGAAAGCATGGGCTGGCCCTTTCTACAGGAGGCGCACAGGCAGCACTGGCCGGGAGGGGGAGGCAACTACCGCCCACCGGGTTTCGGTTAGACCTCAACAGGAAGTTTTCTCTTCCCTTGCGGAAAACAGTGAAACACCTCGACCCGGGCAACCAGAGGTGAGCTTCAGAGTGGGAGGGCGGCTCCGCCCGGGGCCCAGGCCACAGAGGGGCTAGTGACTCAACGCCGACCGCGGCGTCCCCGCCCCGCGCGGGCCCAGGCCGCGGCCTCTCGTGCCCTCCCCATCCACCCCGCCTAGTCCCGGGGGTGGCGGCGACTTCGGGGCCAGCGCTAGCCGGGCCGCGCCCCTACTCCCGGAGCTCTCCTCCTCCTCGCCGAGGGAGCCGGTCGGGCCGGAGCAGGAGCGGCCCCGGCCGCGAGACTCCCGGCCTCGCCCGCCCGGGCTGCACTCACCC